ATTCTATCTTTGCCGGTGGTCTGTGGATCTGTTGGTGTGGATGTTGTGCCTGTGATTAGAAGGAGGCAGGATTGAAAATCTGATTCTGCAGATTGGCTTCACTGTTTCACATAATTAAAAGTTGTTCAGTTTACACCTAATAAGAGTAAGCAGCATACTGAGTTTTGGTGAATGAAACACATTAGAAATGATTTTTTTTTAAATCAGTTTGCCAAACACTATTTTAAGTGATCGTTCTAGCGACTCTGACTTATGAAAGGAACTCGGGAGTGTCAGATTCTCCGAAGCTTTTGCCTGTCATGAAAAGTCCACTTCACACCACTAGAAGGAGCTGTCCCTCTTTCCTCAGGTTTTTCGTTTTTCTTGCCTGCAGATTACGCAGATCAAAGCTGGGAAACCATGGCCTGAAACGCTAAATTGAAATGGGCACCGTTTTTCCTGAGTAGCACCTGCCAGTTTTATAGCTTCATAAGTCATAAAAGCCCAACTGGTGCTGGCTTCTCATGCTGTATGATGAGCATAATTACAGTAACATTTACCCATCTATTTATCTGAATGCCGGTGTCCCGCTTCTGACACATGACCCAAAGTGTGTCATTTCCCCATGGCAAACAAATGAAGCTTTAGCAAGGAGAGCAACAGATGTGTTGAGTTTACAGAAGCCCGGTTCAGGAGGAAGACTCGTTGTATTGTGAGAAGTTGCTCGACTAACAGGACTGAGGCTTGCATAGAGGTGTCTAATGGTCCCGGGACAGCCTCCTACTGACAGAGACTGTCTCAGATCCCTCTGCGTCTGTCCACAGTCTACCGGTCACAAAAGAGGCACGTTTCTGCTCCAGCAGAATGGGCCGCACTGATGGCCAAAGGCTCCATTATTATTTGGGTTCAGAGAGAGCTGTAAACCCCACAGGCCAGACAGAGAGTCATTGTTTCCTGAGGCTCTTTCATGACAAGCTAAGGCTCACTGCATTGGGGGCTCACTGCATACCATCAATCCAGCTCGATCTGTGCCATGTGCAGAAAAAGAACAGCACATGTTAGACAATAGTAGAGTTGATGCAAAACAAGAATCACAGCTATTTGTAATTCCCTTGATGCAATGAAACACATTTTAAAGTAAAAAAAAAAAAAAAGTAAGAAAAATGTAATTTCCCCTGCCAAAGCATTTCTCACAGGCCATGTTTATTTACAGATAAGCATATAAATTAGCTTTTGCACACCCAACTACCCACAACGTCATGGAAACCAGTACGCATTTCGCCAAGCAGCTTTGCTAAAGCCCGGTTCGTCTCGGGACATTGCCTGGCGCTGGTCCAGAGAGCGGCAGATCACACGCTGGGTTCGTGTTTCTGCACTCATTCTTGGGACAGTGAATCTGACCCGGGCGGCTTTATTTTTTCGTTTTTTTTAATTATTTTTTATGGGAGTACAAGACCGCAGGCATGCTCTATGCTTTGCATGCATGCAGTTCAATTAAACACAATCAGTGCCGGAACGCCTTCATAAAACGGGATGCACGATTCTGTCGTTTTTCAGCTCTGTACAGTAACATTTCCCTTGGGGGTCCCACCCTGTTCCACAATCATATTTTTAGGCGCTGAAGCTTCCTCGAGCTATTTCCACTCTCCCGCCTGGAAGATCTTCTTTGATGATAATGCTCGCTTCTAATTTGCAAAAAAGCAACGAGCATTTCACACGCGACGGTCCTGCCTCGTTGATTCTGAGCCAGATTATAGCCTCAGTGTTGGAGTGTGGGCAAGGGCCGGAGGCTTTATTCCCTGTCGTCGGCTCTACGAACGTGACCGATGCTGACCTTATCCTGACCATCTTTAACCCCACATCTCCAGGCCACAGGAAACGGCTTCAGAACATCAATGTCTTGATGTTTTGTCTCCTCAGATACATTCTTCTACTTGCATCTAAACAGTCATTTTAGCTGCTCAGTAATTTCAGTGCTATGAAGAGAAACAGGCCCATTTGAATCTGATATATCGTACTCATGAATTTTGCATGGAGAAATGCTTTTGAAGGCTATTATACTGTTACCTTTTCAACTATGGGTGAAGAATGACACACAAACAGGCAGCAATATTGAATTGTTTACTGCTGTCATGTTTTCTGGGAATATCATGGTGATCATATTTTCCTGCGACTTCCTAAAATGATACAGAGAAACGTTTGTGTCAAGCCACCTTGTGTTCCCTCACCACTCTCTCGGATGTTGGCTGAACGTCGCGGCCGAACGTGACCCCGGCCGGCAAGCACCCCGTGAATTTCACCTTCTGCTGACTGAACCAAAAGCCATGATACTCCTTCTCTGTGGCACTGCGGTCAGTCCTGCTGGCCCTGAACAGAGTGCGTGGCCTCACCTTGTATTCCCTGTGTTTCGGTTAGAAGAGGCGACTAGACAACAGTAATCTGAGAGCTGACACTTTCCCTCGGTAATCACCGTCTTATGCTCTGTTATAGAGAAAAACAGACAGTTTGGCAGATCATTTATCCTTTGTTGTGAAAAGTGTCCATTCTTGTCTTTTCATTCCAAGGTGACTTGCGTAACGTTTGTGTTATACTGAAGATAAGGAGAATATCACAGGATCGGTCCTTAACAACACAAAGCATGAAATCTGCATACACAAGCAATAACCCAGACTACACGCAGAGGGATAATCACCGGGACAATGCTCACCAAACGCCGTCAGCAGTGCTTTTACAACTGAAAGCCTCAAACATAATTTCCTCTCATCTCTAATCAGTCTCTCATCAGCTAGGAGAAGGTTATACTCAAAGCTGGGGCCACCTGTCAATTTCCATAACGAGCAGTTAAGTCGGCCTTTGTGAGCACTCCAAGCTTTAGACTGACGCCGCGCTCAGATAAGGGGCCGGTTCCAGCAGATGTTAGGAGCCTTGATGTAGAATGCATCGACATGCTCATATTTCTCTCACACCAATACAAATTACCCTACCCGCCCAGTTCTAGAAGATTCAGCTGGCAGGTCCAGCTTCTCCTGGCCACTGGTAGGCCGGCCTGGTACAGGTCTGTCACATATGACACCCAGCTGTCCAAGAGAAACCTCAGACCACATGCAAGAACATTGATTTAATGCTGTACTTTGAATATTTGGAAGTGTGAAAGTCTGCTGCCGAGTGTGAAGCAGAAGCCTGCTGTTAAAGCTGTCTTTCTATCCGCTAGGCTTAAGCCAGGCAAGTTTTATTTGTAGAATACAGGAAACTCACAGCCCCTTCTGGGGACAGTCAGCTAGCCGGGTGACTAGAGCAGCAGTGAGTTACAGCACATGCCTCACCTCAGGATGCCCTCAGGCTGCCTGTCTGTTTGCCGCCCTTCCCGTGAGGTTACCAAGCACCGTCAAGGTTTGCTTTTCACACTAGGCTGAAAGGAGAGGCAGACTGAGGAGAGCGAACAGCTGCTGGCATCTCAGACGGCTGGGAGAGGTCACGGCCCAGCGATGGGGCACAACAGTGGCACTCAGCGCTCGCAAATCAGGCCGTGCTGGGGCAGTGCTCAAATTTAGGCCGGCACAAATCAAGCGGTGGGCTTCGGACTGAAACCGTGAGACGCGGACAGTCCATGGGAATCTACATTGCTGTCCCTGCCATGCATATAGTGCAACTCATTTTCAGCCCGAGAGTTTTATACCCAAGACTGGCCCATTTTGTCTGGGGGAACTTTGATAAATGATGCCACAGTTCAAGTCTTATTATTGCGATTCCTTCCATCCATTCATCCATCCATCCACCCATTTTCTGAAATTGCTTGTCCTATTCAGGGCCATGGGGGTTCCGAGCCTATCCCGGAGGCTATGGGCAGAAGCCAGGGGACAACCCAGGATGGGGCGCCAACGCACCGTAGGGCACACTCACACACCATTCACTCACACACCATTCACTCACACACCATACACTCACACACCATTCACTCACACACCATACACTCACACACCATTCACTCACACACCATACACTCACACACCACTCCAAAACACTCCAAAAGTACAGTAGCTAAAAGCATGAATATTCAGAACCAACAATGAATGCTCATAACAATGCCATTTTGGTAAGTCAGACAATAAATATTCCGTATTCATAGCATCTTGGAATCATCTGATTATGACTTAGATGGTTGTTCTGTTCTCCCAAAAAGGCATAACTTATTTTACTTAAACTGTCCTCTCTCTGTAATGTAATCTGAGATCACCTAGTGGGTCTTCTCAAGAGAAAACGGTCCTACATAAAAGTGATCACAATCACATTCCTGCCCCCCGCTTTGTCTGTTACTGCAGCAACATAAACGAAGCTAACAGCTACTAGCCCTGTCTGAATAATTACTTCTTTAAATAATCTTTTCGTTCTGTAAAAGTCTTCTTTTCTAACCACAGAAGTTGATCTAAATGATGTTTTAATTAAAGGAAGGAGGTTGTTTTTCCGATTAACTAAAGCTATACCAATCTGAAAGTGCACTTAAAGTGTTTTCTGTTCATTACACTTGATTTATTACCTGTATAAACCATCCATCTATGTAGTAATTCAGCCTATAATACAACAGCAAGTAGAGTATTTCCAGTCATGTGCACTAGGCTGTGCATACAGCCTCAAAACATCATCTTACACAAAACACCACACAATGTGTGTGGGCAACATCCGATTGTATAGCCGGACGTGTGTCTACATGTCTATGACAATGAGTCTCCATCTTATGGGATGAAAATGCTGGCCCTTTTTGCCTATCTATGCAGCTATAGGACAAATGTGGTTCATTAGTATTTCTAAGTGAATAACAATAGAAACTTTTAGGCAACCAAACAACCTGAGAGATGAAAAATGCTACCATTTTGAACCTTTTTCAGATGTAAATAAACTGTAAACTGATGCTATGATGATATTGTCATTAATAAACTTGTTTTAAAGAAAGGCTTTTTGTCCAATGTTATGTAAAAGCACAGTGCTGCCTGAATATTGCCCCCAGTGAGCGGGATCCATCTTACCTTGACGTAGTCCATGGTGGGGTCCAGGATCTGCCAGTCCCTGTAGGGGAAAGAGAAGGTTCTCTTAGGTGCTGGGATCCAGAGGCATTCCGGGAGTGCGTGTGTCCCTCCTGACGTGCACTGAGACACTGGGAGGCTGAGGACTGCCCCTCGCAGGTACGCGTCCCCCCCGCTCACAGTCCACAAGTGCTAATTCGCACGGCCGTACAATCTCTCACTCGGCGGGAAACTGCAAATCTGCCCCTTGCCAACCGTATAAGAGAGAGGGGCTCAGTCAGACCTTGTGATTTCTGTTCCCTCTCAAAAAAAAAAATACACTCTCTCTAAAAGGTTCTGAAATGACAACTTATCTGGTGAATGAAAAAAACCTTTTCATAGGATGAAAGGAAGCAGACCCATTAAAGATCATAATACTGACAAAGATAACTGCTATGGTCTGAATAAAAAGCCTGTTTACTTTAGCTTCCTGCTCTTCTTCTTTACATGTAGCTCCTCTTTAACATTAAACACAGAGGGTTACAATTCATGTCCCATATCCTGAATCAGTGATCAGGAATATTAATCCAAAGATTCTTACACAACATTTCCCACAAGGCTGGGGGACAAAAACAATCAAAGAATAAACAGAAAAAACAGCCAGAAAATCTCAGTAAACAGTTTATGTTTGCATAAATCAGAATTAACTTCGACTAATGGGTAGAGTGTAAATGACCCTAAGGTAACTTACCTACATGCCCCTCTCATAACGTCCTGTTCTTTTCTCTCAGTAATCATATTGTCAGAAAACAGGTGGGTGAAGCCTCAGGACGACAGAGCGCCTGGTCAGTCTCCCAGCATGCAATGCAGGTCCTGCGCTTCAGCAGTCTGCTCCCGTCACCCGCACAGGACACGTTCAGCTTTCATCTAGAAACTTCCGGCTGAAACCTTTTGATTCTTTCATCTCCTATTACACAAAAACCTGCCTTTATTTTCCTCAGGGTGGGTGGCTGGGCGTAACAGTCCCAGCGAATAAAGTTCATAGTGGTTCCTCATTGAAGTCACACTGCTCAAAAAAAAAAAAACAGGTTTTATGATGTGTGTCTCTGCAAGACCCCACGTCAGGGTTTTGGACGGGACTCTTCCTGACCCCATCGTCAGGTTCGGCCTGAAAAAGAGCCCTTGTGATTTAAAATATCCTGTTTAATGTCCTTCTGTTTTGGGCCTTTTATGCACAAATGGACATTTCCCACAGAACGTAATGAAGGGTTAGCCAAACAAAAGAGCTTTTCTTTCCGCTTGTATTTGCGCCAAGCAACCACTGTATTGTACTGCAGAAAATAAACTGGTATTGTGCCTGACCACTGACTCTTGCCACCCCTCACCGCCTGACCTGATGATCAGCACTGGGAGGCAGTGGGCTGTAAATGATAACCTGCTCGCAGCCATGCGGCCGCGTTTGTGTTCAGACCTGATTCTGACACATGTAGTTTTCACGGTAAAGCAGCATTCGGGTCTTACTGTGGCTCACTCTCCCACGTCGTCACATAACTCTGGCAGCAGGGGGAGCCGCTCTCCAAGACAGGTGATAGCTAGCATGTCCAGAAGAGCTCTTCGGGAATCAGGTTTTTTCTAAAATATTCTGCTAGCTAAATTTTATATGCCACTGCCACCTCACACCTTCAGGGTGGAGTGTTTGAATTCCATCTTTTCTCTGTGTGAGTTTCCCGTATCGTCCAGATTTCCTCCCACAGTCGAAAGGCAGGCAGTTTGGCTAATTGGCATCTCTGACTTTCCCGTTGTATATGTGTTCTGTGATGGGCTGGTATCCAAGGGGAACCTCCGTCCTCTGCCCTGGGCTATCTGGGATAGGCTCCAGGCCTCCCATAACTGCTCAGGATAAGCATGTGGAAGATGGATGAGTAAATAATCAGGACATGCCTTGGATTCCACGGAAACTACTGTTTCTCTTAAAAATTAAGGCCGCATTTCATTAAGCGCATGTACGGCCTGTCGCCATCACATGACAATTGACCTGCTTGCTATCGCTATGGACAAAAGTGTAAATATACATTTAAAAATGTAAACGTAATGCAGAGCTCAACGAAATTGCTGGAGATGAATATCTGGAGCCTGGCGCTTTCTGCGAGGTTCTGCTCTCGTTTCTCGTAAGCGGGAGGCGTCGCCTGCAGCTCGAGGTGCCACATGACATCCTGTGTGAGCACTGGGCTGATAAAGGCCTCAGCGCCACGTCGGTAACCGTTTTTACGCAAAGCTCTGAACATGGAGGCAGATATAGGAGCAGCACCTGGCAGCCGGCTGCTCGCCAGTCATCGACGGCAGACGTCTGCCGCGAACACAGGTCAGGTGCCAGAGCGCTCTTCACGCCGCAAAGCTGGCCTTGAGTCTTTGGTGATTATTTCCGATATCATTAAGACACCAGAATCCCTGCAGGCTGTTCCGTCAACACTCGGCGTTGTGGCTCCCAACACGGATACTCACCTGATAGTGGATATGTGCTGGAAAACGGCACACAAAACATCCAGCTACAGCACTGAGAAAGACACGCAAACACTCTTATTTGCCTGCAGTGTTCTAAACGTCCAGCTCTGCCATTCACTGCCCCACACAGCCCTCTTTCCCAAGTATTTAACCTACTTTCTGTCCTTAGCCTTGATTCTGCTAGGAAAAGTTTTGTTGCCTTTCTGCAGCAAGCCTGGTCTGTATACAAACGGAACGACGAGTTCGGTACTGCTAGACCAAAAGGAGACAGATCACAGCCCAGAGAGCTGGGGGGGGGGGGGGTTGTGGCACATGCAGCGTCTTTGGAGTAGCTTTGTATGACATTATAATTGACAAATTTGATGGCAAGTTCCACAAAAGACACCAAATAGTCTCAATAGGATTTCAATTGTTAGAAATGTCATATCGAATCTCTGTCTGTCAAAATAAAACATACCCACTGGTTCTGGAGGCTGGACTGAACCGCCACCAATTATTACCTCACAGTAGCAGCTGTACCAGTATATATATTACCAGTATTAAGAGTCTAAGACTTATTACATGATCCTATAATCTACACAGTGTTTGGCAGTTTATTTTTATTTTTACCACCAAGAATAAAAAACTCTTCTTTTAAGTTCCTACCAGTGCAAAACATCCGAATATTTGAAAAATAATTAAATTAGAAGAAAGTCAAATTACACTATGAATTGTCAACAAGTGGATAACATCGTGTGTTTAACAAATATTTTAAAGTAATCAGTTGAACATTAAATGCTAGAGAACATGAATAGGACAGGACTCCTTTTTTCATTCAGACTATGCCTAGTGAGCAGTGAAAAGGAACAATGGCGTCTCCTAGCTGTGCACCTCATCACTAATTGCTAATAGACTTTGTAGACTCTGATGTTCTCCTCCAGGTAAACAAAGGACCTACCTCATACATTAACCACAGCATTCGACCTGCAAGGCAAGAAGTGTCCATCTCAAGCTGTAACTCCTGTTAGGGGTAGCAGATAAAGTGCCTTTTGAATATATATCTGAACTGTTAGCTTCCTCTGTCTGCTTCTAGGGTTACCTGAGCCGCGCTTTATGTGAAATATGAAAGCTTGCCTTTTCAGAAGGTGCCATCAGATCCTTGAAGAAGCGACCGCACCTTGGGATCCCCCTTCGAACCCCACCATGCCTCCCGCTCTGAGCCTTGGTGCTGGTGTCTCTGCTGCCATTAAATGGCAGCGCCGCTCCCTGGCGCCGTATGCAGCCGACAGGGGGTGGGGAGGGAGGGCGGTTGTCACAGAAACCCAGGTTTCGTATGAGGTCATCGGTAACACTGTTAGTCTATATCGGGAGATTTATTTTGTGGCCTTGGTCCATTATTATCATCATGGTACCAGCGGCACTGCTTTGCTGGATACTGAACAAAACATCTTCTCCGCTAACCTTTAAATGTCACATGGCCAGTAACTGGGAAAACGCTCCTGACGTGGCTGACCCTATCAGCGCCGCAGGAGTCCAGCCGCACAGTGCCTGTCCAATGCTCAACGCCCACAGGGCTGTCAGGAGAGAGAGCCGACACTCGGAGAGTCTGTCTTATCTCTGCTCACAGTCTGGGGGCTAATATTTGGGTCTCTGTCTGGGCCAGTTCTGCACCAAAGTGACACAGACCAAAACAAACCTCTACATCTCTACAATACTTTAAAGTGTTTTGTCTGCTAATACAGGTGAAGTAATAGATTAGCATGAAAATATTAGCATACATACACTTCATATATTGTACTTATCAATATCTATGATATGTTTTTGGTCATTAATTCTTTTTGGTCTTTTGGTGATTAGGACTGATCAATGTTTTTCAGATTTGCTTTGAAAGCCAAGACTTCCTTCATCCTCAAAGAGCTGTTGCATCTTAGATTAAGATGTTTGAAGCTATTGCTTTAAGATGGAACTGAGGACCAGCATTGCAGGTGAACTCCTGGATGAACAGGATGACACAAAGCAGAAATGGGGCACTCCCATTCTCCAGGCCAATGGAGCGCTGTTTTAGGGTTTGGAGCTTGACTGGATCCAATTCACTCCAGATAACATCTGGCCAGTGTCACTCACTGACTTGGTTGAGACGGGATGAAGCATGAAGTATGAAGCAGACCAGACTGAGCCAGTGCTGACTAGCAGACAGTGATTACATCTCAGGCAACCTTGTTAGTGTGCCAGTAAGACAAGCCTGGGTGCCGTTTGAAGGATCTGCCTGAGATTCACAGCAGGCAAAGAGCCACTTGGCCTTTCCACCCAAGAGCCTGAAGTTTGTTTTGTCGTTTCTGCTGTTGACGTCTGACATATCATTTTGATTTTCAAAATTTACATTGAGATACTTTGCCCTTCTAAAGAGAGCCTTCAGAAATCCTGGGTTGGTTTTCAAAATGACATTAATGTCTTGAGACAGTTGCTTATTTGTAGTTGTTAGTACTAGTAATCATTCATGGAGAGGGACATGACCTGACAAGGATGTGGGTGAGGGGTGTGTCACAAATTACACATTTAAACGTTGCATACTGTATAAAGAGCAAATTTCCAAAACTAAATCAGTTCATTTATTTGTTTGTTTGTTTATTCTGAGTTGAGACAGACAAGACCTAAATTCAGGCTTCCTTATCATACAGTATGTTACAAACCATATGCAAACCAAAATGAACTCACTCCTCAAGAAATCCAATGAACAGCTTTTATTCATTTTCAAGTCCACAGAAATTTTCTTGAAAACATTTTGGAAATTTGCCCTTCATATATTATACTGAGCCATGACTCTGGCCAGGAGAAGCATTTGGAAGATGGATGGATGGATGGATGGAGGGTGGGAGGGAGTCACTAATACCAAGGACCACATCTCAGCAGGATCTGGCAGTGTTTACAGCTCACAGCTTCTTTCCAAAACTTTGCAGGTGTCGCCATCTTTAAGCTTAACTTTCTGTGATTGTGTTTCGTAAGCAAGATGAATGATGTAACGAGAGCATGAGCAAGAAAGGGTGTGGGCTGTGGTCACCTGTTGATGTGGGGGTACTCCATGTCAGCTGGTGGGGGCCCGTGTTCCACTATGACGTTGTGGACGAGCTGAGGGGACCGCAGGCGCGAGCGGGCTGGCAGGGTGCCCGTGTGGCCACGTGTGTCCAAAGGCCAGGCCGGTGAGGAGCCTTTCTTCTTACGCGGTAGGGTTCCGTGGATGGAGACGCCCCGGAACCTGGGTTCCACGTCGAGAACAGGTGGCCGACTGCTGAGCAGATCCATGGAGGAGGCCAGAGAGCACTGGCGGTCCGTGTGGACGTTTCGGGGCAGACTGGCAAACCTCCCCTGTGACATCATCCTCAGCTCTGCGGATCACATTCAGAACGAGCAACAGCATTGTGACATCACACACAGAACAAACAACAATATTATGACATCATATTTGGTGAACGTATGGGCACTTAAGCTTATCGGAGCAGGGTTCTTTTTTATGAAACTAGGTGTCAGAGTTTCGCTCCGTCACAGCTGTCATCAGTCACAGATGGCCTTTAACCTCTTTTTTTTTTACTGGTATGTTCGGTGCACGCACAATTAGCACTGTAGGGCAGGAAGGCTGCAGTGTACGCCTGCAGTGAGGAGATGTGCTGGAATCGCCTCAGGCTGAGCTCCGTGGTGCCTTAACCACAAGCCAGCAGATTGGGATCTCTCCCAAAACATGTTTACCTCAGCATTCCTCGTCAAGGCTGGGACGCCACTAATTGTAGCGCTGGGATAAAGAATCTACTCACAGAGAAGACGTGCTTATTCATTACTGCTGCCTTTCCAACACAAAACAACCAGAGGAACAGACTAGTAAAATCTGGGGGTTTGGCCCCTCCCCTTCATAGCCGCCCCAGTGTTTGCTTCACCTGTTCTTGGGAACATCTTTTTTTATAATAATATAATATAATACAGGGGTCTCCAGTGGCAGTTCTAGAGACCCCCAACCCTACACAGCTTGGTTCTTTCCCTGTGCCACCACACCTGATTCAGCTCCAGAAATGGGTGGTAATTAGCAGAGAAGTTGAATCGGGTGTGTTAAATGAGGGGAAACCCCAAAAACGTGCAGGGCTGGGGCTGGAGATCCCTGATATAATACAACTTTCATTTTTTATAACTTAAGACAGGGGTGTCAAACTCCAGTCCTGGGGGGAACGGAGCCCTGTGTACCTTAGTTCTTTCCCTGTTCCACCACAAATGATTCAACTCAAGAGTGTGGTAATTAGTACAAGGAGTTGAATCAGGTGTGTTAATTGAGGGGAAACCCATAACTGTGCAGGGCTCCAGCCCTCCGTGTTTGGAGTTTGAAACCCCTGTCTTAAGGCTTAAAACTCAGATCTGCAGGCGGTTTTGAATTTGTGAAGCTTTAAAAATACACATTCCACAAGCCCTGATTTACTTCATACGTTACAGTTTTACAGATATAATGGAAGATAAGCACATAGCAGGTAATATACAGGGGTCTTATTCTTAATGAAAAAAAGTGCAAAGAATGAGCAGGGACCTTCATGCACGGACCTTCCTATGGATGCAGCACCCAGAAAGAGAGACTGTAAGTAAAGCCCAGTGACCCAGACAGCAGCTGAGCGCAGAAAGTGCGCTGACCTCTTTAACCACCATTCAGCACACGCTCAGTCACACACTGAGGCACAGGAGCTGCGTTTTAGGATGTGAAACTCAATCTCCCCTCCAAGGGGCACTCTCTCACTGGAGGTCCAGGCGATAAAGACATTCTTGGGCGGGGCAAGATTTCAAAGCTGTCTCAGGTGCTTTCTGATGGTTAAATCAAAGAGTCCTACCAGGAGTCAATGGGCATTGCCATCCTATACCATTCCTAGGCAATGCCACCGCCTGACACTCTCAGGATGATCAAGGCGTTGGGCCTCAGGCAGAGTTACACATGCTAGACTGTGGGATTCACACGGGTTTGGAAGTGCATGCGACTTATGCTTGTTTCTAAGTGGGTACAGTGGAGATCTTCTGCCCAGCGTGTGATTCAGGCATTCACAAGAAAGAAAAACACACCCATTTTCCATGAACCCAAACCAGGTGACCTCATGTGACATCACTCTGTAGGGCACTAATGCATTAAAGGTGTTTTAGCAGCAAAAGACAGTGTGAACAGGCAGAGGATATTTAAAAAAAACCTTAAATGGGCCAAGTATGATTATCTGGCGTAAAATATAATCCTGACTAAGGAATCTGTGATACCTTAATGCTTTTTTCCCCCACAGCATGTACAAGTATAAAATGTCATGTAGACCTGAAATATATCAAGTAACCAGTGAAATATTTTGAAATCTCTATGACTAATTCATTGTTACGCCTTATGTAAAACTACCCAAATCTGGTCAGATGCAGACCAATAACACGCCTCCTCGTACTGAGTTAGACATGCTTGCCCTAAAACTCCTCCACGGTCTAATCTCTTTGGGCTCACGTCTGATTGGCTGCCGTGGCCCAACCCCCACGGAGTGCCAGCATAGAGGATCTCAGTTGTTCTGTCAGATGAGCGTGGTCCTTCAGGAATGCCGCTGAATAACTTGTCCCCCCGCCCACCTTTGTGCGGCTGCTGAAGTGAAAGATGACATCAGGGGTTGCCCCTGGGAGCAGCCCGCCCCAAAGCTGCACCCCCCCTCCCCCACACACCATCACAGACTGTATCAGTCGTGCTTTTTGATCTGGACCGGCTGCTGCTCTGCACTCACACCATACTTTACCATTTCCTGCCAATGACATCATTCTCCACACCATCCAGTGCAACATGGGCTGAAGTCTCTCCCAAAGTTTGCATTATGCAGCTCAAACCCAACCGGCATCCAAGCTGTCTGTCCTGGTGGAGGTCTGTGAGATCTGGGGCCACTCGCAGAAACTGCAAGGCAGCACCATGCCATGGATGTGACACTCTGGCCAGGTCACATGATATGCAGACTTGAGCCAAAGTTACCCACAGACCTTTTTAGTCATTTCTAATTTGCCGGTCATACTGATGGCATCCAAAAATCTATGTGGAGAGTCAAAAGAAGACAGCCATTTTTCATTGTTTGGGTCTCCAAGCTTATCCCTGCCCCCAGCACTCTGTTGGGAATTAGTGAATTCAGACCTGGGCTGCACAGACAATGGAATCAACAAGTGTGGAGGGTTATGGGAGGAGGAGGCAACTGGAAGGAGGAGGAAGTGAGGAGTCAGGTGGAAGAAGGAGAAGCCAGACAGGCAGCTAAAATGGGGAGGTGAGGAATTAGCTCAGAAGGTGGAGGAAGTAAAGAGTTAGCTATAAGGAGGAGGCAACTGGAAGGAGGAGGTAAGGAGGCAAGTGGGAGGAGAAGGAGGAGGTGCTGGATGGAAGTGGGGAGGCTGGGTATCTCTGTAGGATGCTCATGCCCATTTCGGCTTGTCACCCACAGCTCAGACATTCCTTCCAAAATCTGTTTCACTCCTCCTGAACTCTCCGTGCAGGTCCTGGCTCACGCTCACCCGATCCACATCTTCAGGGGGCTGAGGCAGCCCACGCCGCAAGGCTTATCAGCGGAAAGGGGAAGTTTAAAAATAAAGAGCGGGCTGAGCCAATCGGCTGTGGCGTGGGGCGGCCCCAGTGCCCCAGCGGCCCGGTGCCCCAGCGTCCTTCCGCTCGTGCGTCAGCAGCACACGCTTCGGAGGCACATGTGACAAGCCTGGCCCCCTAATTACTCCTCTGAACTGGGTAGCCCGTTAAAGAGAAAACACTGAGGCAGGAAAAAATGCAGAGCGCAGATAAGCAGGCAGGAAAGAGTAGCAGCATGCAAGTGGCTACACACAGACGCAGACAGGCAGCGCAGCCGAGACACAGCCACCTCACTCCTTACTGCCGAGGGGAACAATAACTGCCAGTGTCACATGATACTGCTTTCACATCTTTGCATTGTTGAGACTTGGGGGGGTATAAATGGCCTCCCCTTGTGTTGGTGGGAAGGACTGCCCCCCAGAGCGGCTTTCAGTCGGCATGACTGCATGTGACATATTAATCAGCGAGTCATTAAAAGCAGGCTGTCCTGGTGATACCACACTCATGCACACACACACAGGATGAGCCGCTGCACTACCTTTGTGTCGTTCAGTTTACACTCAGTAGTTCTGTTTTCTCACTCTGCTCGCCACCCGTCACATGAAACGGCTCCTGAGATAATCCGTCATTATCCAAAATTGCCTGTATCCCACAAAGCCCGTGTCCCGCAAAGCCATTCCCAAACAGGCTTGTCCAACGTTGTTTCAAATTATACGACTGAAAACTTCAAACTCACACCAGCGTTACCATGAGATTCCTGTCAACAGCTCCAAAGTCGAATCTGCCCTTTACTTATTAAAATTACCTGATGCGTGTTCATCTTGCCAGTTTGTAAGAATCAGATATTGCATCTTCTATTACGCTTATTGTTAACGCTCACTTTTAAATGCCTTGAGAAGTTTCAGTTTACACAGCAGCAAGATTCCAGGAGTATTAAATGTAGAATCTGCACAGTCCCTTACCCAAAAATGAATAAGTGCATGTGAACCATGTGTGTCATTCCACCTCAAGCCGTTTACCCTGCATGTCCCATAACACACCTCTGTCTGACTGATCCCAGAGCAGATCCATCACCACAGCTTACCTGTTTCTTAACTTCTGCAAAGTCCAGTTGGAGGGTTTGTCCAGTTCTGGAGGACAAAGTCACATTCCGCAATCTGGCATGTACTCAGACAGCCCCCCTCCAGCAGGAATACCACTCCCCCGGTGCTGGGCACTGCAGGTCCAGTCGAGCCCTGTTGTGCTACGCTGTGCCGGTGTTCTGGCCCCTCCCGAGTCAGTGCACTCTCTTCCCCCTCTCTGCCGCGGCTTGGTGGGACCGCCCCGCCACTGCAGTGATTTATAGCTTTCCAGCCACACCCTCCAGGCTGGGCGGAAACAGAGGGAGAGCAGAGGGCCAGGCCGGTCCAGGCCCCGCCCCCAACACCAGGCCCACTCTCTGCCAGATGGTAACGGTCTCACCCATGAAAGTTTATAACTTTACCCAAACTTTCACACTGTCACGCAGTGCTCTCTCACAAGGCAGTCACACTGCGTATTTACGCTGCACGTGCCACTAAGAGAAAGGCTTATTCTCTAGTTACATTGACAACAAGGCTGGAAAGATCACATACGATAACATAAATCCGGGAAAAAAAGAATCTGTGGATAAATCAGTTCTCTTATCTGTTCAGAGCTCTTCAGCGTGGGCCACGGTAAACAGCATGTTTTGTCTGTTCCTCCTACAGCAGCTTCACACCAACGCCATGCCCCGTGACATAGGGGGCAGGCGCTGTGTGTTTTTTG